CTGCCTTGTGTCCCTAGGTCCTTCACACTGAGGCGAGCAAACAGGCTATCCTCTGGACCGTGAGGATGAAATAGCATCAACCATCAAGGATTCCAGGTCCCCAGGGGGAACACAGGCCAGCCAGGAAGTATGACCCCTCTTCATGAGTCCACATTTAGAGTGCCAGCTCTGTGCCATGTCAGAGGAACATTCGGGGCTGTCTGTGCCCTCCAGCATGGGAGAGCCCAGAGGAAACCTTCCTCCCCTCTTGCAAGGTTAGGGAAGACTTCTAGAGCAGGGGTGTGTCTCCTCTGAGCTTCAAGGATAGTAAGTAGGGCAAGAAGCTAGGGATAGTGTTTTCAGGAAGATTCTGGAAAACAGAAACACCAGACCAGCCAGCGTAGGACCCAGGCATGGAGAAGTAAGAAAGATATTATGGCAAGTAGGTGGTGTGGTTGGGGCGCTGGACTCCCACATGGCCTTCTGTAGTTCAAATCCCACACTTAGCAGCTTTCTCTCTTTCTGTCTCTCTTTGGTGAGTGCAAGTGCTCTATAGCAAATTCTAAAATAATAATAATAAATAAAATTAAAATAAATAATTCTAAAAAAAAGAAGGAAAGAGGTATGGGAACCAACAATCAACCCCCTTCTCTCCCATTGGGCAGCTCCAAGCCCTCCCACTCCCCTCCCTTTGAGGCTCTGTCTGACGACCTCCTTGTGTCACAACTTTTTATTGTGTGCCTACTATGTGCCGACTCTGTGCTTTGAATCCTCCCGTCTCAGTCCACAGGGTGTGAAGACATTAATCAGGTATACAAGGAACCAAGTGAGGGATTTGGAGATCCTGGGGCCTGTTCCCAAGGAAATCAATAGAGCATTGAGAAGAAGGCTGGGGGACGAGCAGATGGTGTCATGGTTACTGAACTGCCATGTAGTGAACTGTGGTTCAAGTCCCAGACCTGGCTACTTAAAACTCACACCGGGCACATGTGCATGGGTGCCCAAGATCCCGAGAGGAGAATGGAGGAGAAGGGATTGCGGTGTGGCCATCCCCCCTGGGGGTGATTTCTAGCTTTCTGTCTCTCTGTCTGTCTCTGTCTGGCAAGCACACGCACCCTATAGCAACAATCATAGAAAAAAGAAGGGTGGGATAGAGAAACCTCATGGGCTCAGGGGTCAAGGAAAGCCTCCAAGAAGGCAATGGCTGAACTGAGGCTCGAATCAGCAGAAGCAACCAGACCTGTGAGAGTGAGGAGGAGAATGATCAGTGGTGGGGGCAGTGTTTAAAGGCCTGTGGCAGCAAAAAAGCTGGGGTGCTGGAGAAATAGCTAGGAGGCCAGGGGTGGTACAGTCAGGGTGAGGAGGCTGGAGTCTTGCTTGAGAAGGAGGGCAGACCTCAAAGCAATTTATGGGAACTGGGTGAAGCGATTCCATCCAGGTTTTGAAGGATAGGATGACACTGTGGCTCTGCCTCTCTGGCCCTGTGTTCTGAGGACCCAGGAGCCTACGGTTCTTAAGTCTGTACTTCCTCCTGCCTTTTCCATGGCTACCGCACAAAGGTGAGTGCTGAGTCAAAGTCTTGGCTGAAGCCGGGCAAGCTCCATGGGCATGGTCATGGAGCAGCCCGGTTGAGATCCCCAGCTCTGTGCCTCTCACCCCTAAGGAGCTCCAGCACCCACAGCCTGGTGCTGGGTTCAGTGCTCACTCTCCAGACGGGCCAGGAATTATGCTTTAAGCAGCTCCCTGGGGGAGGAGGGGGCCCAGGTGCAGACGGTGCGGGCCCTACATCCCAAGCAGCCATTGCCTTCCATCCTGTTGACCAAACACCCAGTTCACTGTCACACTTTCCATTTTTCTATTCTCTTTTTTATTTTAGAACATCTTAAATGTTTAATCCTTTCTTTACAAGTTACCACTTTTGATTAAGAAAACTTAAAAAAATAATAATAATAACTCACAGCAAACAGCAGGCTGTGACACACATCCATTTTCAGAGTCCTGCTTTGCGGGGTGTCTGAATGCACCACTTGGGTCTCTGCTCACACTTCTTGTTTTTCCACATTTCTTTTTAAACTCTTCAGAGTTCTTACAGAATTGTTTACAGTCCTTAGAGTATTCTTCAGCCGTGTGAGCCCAGAGAGGGTGCTCCACTGGGGGTCGTTCCCCCAGTGCTAGGAGGGGCTGGGTTACTTGGTTGTCTTGGTTGCAGTTTTTAACACTAATTACTAGTGGACTGACCTGCCCCCCTCTCATTGACGTTTGGGTGACAGATCTTTGTTTTAAATGTGGTCTTAGGTGGTTTGAATGGGTGCTCTGCTGGGACGTTGATTTTGATTCTGAAGGCCCTGTTGTTACATGGAAGGTTGTCAGGAACAGTAACCCCTTGCCAAGTCATAAATTAACTTCCTCAGCCTGGGTGGTTCAGGAAGTTTTTCACTCCACATTTGTGGATTTCTTCATCAGCCTCCTGCTGGCCACCATCATAGATCCGGTGCTGCAACTTTGCCTGAATGCTGTGCTTTTCCCACAGTTAGTATGGACACGGACTTAGGCTGGAGCCCCTCCAGACCTTGAAAACTACGGAAGAATGGAGCTGTCTTAGTTGAAAAGGATCCTGGAATCTCAGCCTGGTGAGTGGGCCATGGAACATGGGTTCAAGACTCAGGGGCAGCAGGTGGCATGGAGGTTAAGGTGACTGGATCCCACGTGACTGGCTGCACAGTTGTGTCCTGGATCCTGCAGCTTGAAAAACACACTGGGCGCATGTGCATACGTGCCCAAACTCCCAAGAGGAGAATGGAGGAAAAGGGATTACAACTTGTGGTGTGGTCATCCCCACTGGAGGGTGATTTTAGACTCAGGCCTTGCTTAGGTGGCACAGTCTATAGCACGTACTGTAATGCAGTGCTGGAGTCTGGGTGGCCAGCCACGGGTTTGGATCCCCAGGTTGATCTGAAAAGATCCTGGGTGCGAATGTGCACGCGTCCAAGATTCTGTTAAGCTGGGGGCTGGGAAAGGGAATTGCAGTGCAATGAGACCCTTTTGAGGATACTCTTTTCTCTCTCTCTTTTTCTAATTATTTTATTTAACTTTATTTATTTTTTATTTTTATTTTTATTTGACTGAGAGGGACAGAGCCAGCGAGTGAGAGAGGAAGGCAAAGTGAGAAAGCAAGCCAGCAGGTCCAGGACTTGAACCGCAGTCAGCCATGTGGGAGTGCAGCATCCTTAACCACCATGCCACCTACTGGCCCCTCACTCTTTTTTTTTTTTTTTAATTTGCCAGAAGGCAGTGTGCTCCCTGGAGAGAGGTAGAGAAAGGGAGAAACCACTCACCGTGAGAAAAGGCCACGTTGCAATCCTTTCTCCTCCTTCTCTCCCTTCTGAGCATCCATGCCTAGCATGGTTTTCAAGTTGCTGGGTCCAGGACCAAATTGTGTAATTGGCCATGTGGGAGCCAGCCACCCTAACCATCATGCCATGGGCTAGCCTGCTTTCCTTTCTCTCTCATATGTACATACATGCTCTATCATGAAAAAAATTTTTAAAAAGTAGAAAAACTAGGGACCAGCAGGTGGCATGATGGCTAGGGGTGCTGGACTCCCACATAACCAACCACCGTTTGATTTCCAGAGCTCATGGCTTGCTTTCTCAAGTTCCTTCTCTTTCTCTCTCACTGACCTTCTCTGGTCAAATTAAAAATAAATAAATAAAGTTAAATAAAATAATTCTTTTTTAAAAAAATTAGAGAAACTGACTCGGGAAGCTAGACAGCGATATGGTGGCAAAATGTGACACTACAATGCTGACCACATGAGACAGTTCTGAGTTCACATCGGAGACCTCACTGACACACCAGGCACAAGTGTGCCTTTGATCTGGAGCTAGTCAAAGCTGGGGGTGGATCGTGGCATCAAGACTCAGTTTGGGGTGCCTGCTTCTCTCTCTCCTTTTCATTCGTGGAAAAAATGAAAGAAAGAAACAGAAAGACAGACTCAGATTCATACACAGCTCCCCTCTGCTGGCTGTGGGGCTACAACGGGTGACTTTGGCCATCCAAGCTACTTTGTCTCCTCTAACGTGGGTGTAATTAGTGATCTCCTTCTGCATAATGCATCGCCCCAATATTTGGCAGCAGCTTCAAATAATATATGCATGTTATCTCGGTTTTTGAGGGTCAAGAATCCAGGGACGTCCACTCTGGGTGGCCTAGGGTATCTTGTGTGGTTGCAGTCAACTGTCACCTGGGACTACAGCCATTTGAAGCCCTAACTGGAGCTAGAGGATCCACTTCCAAGGTGGTTCACCCACATGGCTGGCAAGTTATTGCTGGCTGGTCTCTGTTCCTCCCACATGGCCTTCTCCTCAGTGCTGCTTGAGTGTCTTCACAACATGGTGACTTACTTCTCCAACAGAGCAAAACCAAAGCCACGTCCTTCCACAATATCAACCCTGCTCATGTTGGGGAGAGGGATGTACATAAGGCCATGAGTACCAGGAGGTGGGGCTCATGGGGGTGCATCTTGGAGACTGGTTGCCATGGTGGACTCATCATTCCCACTAGGAAGACATGTAGTGAGCATTCACTGAGCTCATGTATGTGAAGTGCCTGATAGGTAGTAAGCACTCAACAAGGGATCACTGTGATTAGCCTGAGCAAAAACTTACCATCATGGACCTGCTGATCTCTCTGCATCATGTCTTAGCATCCCTAAGACCTTCCACCACCATCTTATTTAACACAATCTCTTTTTTTTCCAAATAATTATTTTATTTAACTTTGCTTATTTTAATCTGACCAGAGTCAGACAGAGCGAGAGAGAGAGAGAGAGAGAGAAAGTGAGAAAACAGGCCCCCAGATCCGGGACTCGAACCACAATCAGCCATGTAGGAGTCCAGTGCCCTTCATCACCACACCACCTGCCGAGCCCAATTTAACACAATCTTTACAGGCACCCCCTGTGTCCAAGCTCTGGGCTTGGTAGTAGTGACACAGCAGTGACAAAGATGTACCCCATTTTTGTTATTTAGACATACATCCCAGGGACATAGCTACAAGGGGCTTGCAGGTAAGGCAAGGGGACCTGGCTATGGAAGTAGTGACAAGCTGTAGAACTCTGGGGATACATTAAAGATAGATGGGGGTGTGTGTGCACGCACACACATGCTTGCCCTTTTCCCTGCCAGTGGGTGCATGTGCTTACCAGAGAGAGAGAAAGCACCCCCAATGGGACATGACCATGCCACAATCTCCTGTTTTCTACCTCTTCATCCCTTGGGCATGCATGTATACACACTCAACATGTCCCTAAGCCACTGGGGCCAGGATTTGAACAGCAGTGGACCAGGTGGGATCCAGCTTTCTATGCCAGACTTAACCCACCATGCTATGGGACCAGCCAGGTCGAGTTGTTTTTGAAGTACAGGTGGTTCCTGACTTACAATAGTTTAACTTAAAATTTCTTGACTTTACAATGGTGCAAAAATGATGTACAGTCGGTAGAAACTTTGAATTTTGAATTTTGATTTTGATTATAAAATGGGTTTTGTGTTAGATGATTTTGCCCAATGTAGGCTGATGTAAGTGTACTGGGCATGTTTCAGGTATGCCAGGTGCAGCTGGGGCGCTCAGTAGTTAAGTGTATTAAATGCATTTCCAGTTTACAGTTTTTTCAACTTACCTTGGGTTTACTGGGATGTAACCCCGTTGTTGGTCAAGGAGCATCTGTATTGGCTGCTGAATGGGATGTGGGCTTAGAGAGAGTCAAGGATGCGGCCTGGCTTCCCGACCTAAGCAGACAAGACAGTGTTGTTGTGACCATGGGAAGAGCAGGTCAGGGTGAGGGGGTCAGGTGTTCGTTCCCAGACCTATCAGGCAGTAGGGTGAAATGTCAAGGAGACAGTTAAATATGACTCTGCTGTTTGAGAGGGAGGCCGGACGGAAGATGTACATTGAGGAGGTGTCAGACATAGGTGGTGTTTAAAGCCAACGTCAGAATGAAGTCAGCAGGGAGCGAGTGTAGAGAGTAGCAAAGGGTACCCAGTTCCTCATGCAATTAGAGGTCAGAGGAGGAGAAACCCTCAAGAGAAGGAGCAGAAGTGCCACATGGTATGGGAGGGGAAGAAGAGGGCTACCCTGGGACAAAGCCACAGTTCCTCTCAGCCTGCCTTTCTCACCTCCAGCCCCAGCCCACGCAACACCAAGGCCAGACAGGCCCCATAGTGCCCCCCCATCCAAGGCAGTGGCTGGGTCTCACAGACGGCTGTGAACACCCCCAGAATGTTGGGCCATTCCACCCCACTTCATTTCTAGTCCTTCATCACTCGATTCACCTCTCATGCCCCATTCTGTCTCTCCCTTACTGACAGGGGCCAGCACTTTCATTTTTTAAAGAGGTTTTTGCCCAAGGTATGTGCACTTTGCCAGAGAGAGATGGACAGAGAGAGGGAAAGTGAATAATCACCTCCTTGTGGGAGGATGGCCATGCTACAACCCCTTCTCCTCCATTCTCCTCTTGGGATCTTGGGCACACAACACATACACCCAGTGTGATTTTTCAAGTCATCGGGTCCAGGACTTGAACAGTGGTCAGCCATGTGAGAGTCCAGTGATGTAACCACTGTGCCATCTGACAGGGTCCAGCATTCCCTCTCTTCATTTAGACTACCTCGGTTAATGCAACCATAGCTAGAGCTAGCCTTTCTAGTAGCAGCAAATAGAGCAGATATGAGTGGGGAACTGGTTAAAGCAAAGGGCTATGAAGGAAAGAAGTAGGATTGGCAACATCTCAAAAGGGGCTTGGGGTTGGATCAGCAAGGGTCTTGATTGCCATACCAAAGAGTTTGGACTGAGGAGGGAGGAAGAGGGAGCCACAGAAGGTTCTGAATTTGAGAAATGATGCATTCAGGTGATTTTTGCTTCAGGAAGAGCCACGCTAGATTCTGTTCCTGGCCTTGTCCCTAATTAGGTCGTCTGTGCGCACAGGCCAACTCTGGCTCTGCAGTAAGGAGGGGCAGGGCAGGGCAGGGCAGGGCTGGGAGATTCTGCTCTGTAGCAGGTGGGGGTGGCGGCCGCAGACGCAGAGGCACCATGAAGCAGGGAGCGCTACCAGGGAGGCAGCAGCTTCGCTGGCTCCTCCACGTTTCCATGAGGGCAATGAGGCTTATATTAATGAGAGGTAATTATGGACACCCGGATGAGCCTAAGTATAGCTCATTGACAAAGGCAGCCAGCTGCTTCTCCCTGCCTATTTTAAGACCTCCCTAAGGTGAGGCTCTGGCTGCCCCAGATGTTGGATGGTTGAGGGACTGGTGTCCAGGGAGCCAGGAACCCTGACCAAGGGAGCTCAGAGGGAGTCAGTGTGGCCAGACGCTCAGACCATCCTCACTCAGAGGAACCAGAGAGGGCAAGGGGCCAATCCCAGGTCAGAGCCAGTATCTAGCAGAGTTAGGATTTGAATCCAACTGCAGCACTTTCCATCCTGCCATGCAGCACCCCTAACTTGGAAGTTCTGGCCTATCCCCAAGAATCACAATATAGCGAGGTGAGGAGGGGAGCAGTGATATTTATTGAGCACCTAAGTGTGAGAGTCATAGTCTAAGTCCTCATCATAGTCTTAGAAAGTAAGGGTCCCCCTCCCCATGTTCTGAAGAGGAAACTGAGACTCACGAGAAAGATGTCACAGTGAGGAGGAAAAGGGTAGACTCCAGTTCTGTTTTCTTGTTAAGTTCCCCAGGGAACAGACTGGTTTGCATACAGAATTTCCTTGGGGAGTCTCTTAGGAACACCTGCAGAAGGTGAAGGGTTTAGGATTGGGCAGAGGGAGGAGCTGAACCTCACCAGTCACAACAAAGGTCTCAGCTCATTCCCTGGGGATCTTGAATGGACCTTTAGGGATGGGGCGAGGTCCCTCTGTACCCCACATCAGCCAGTTACTCCACACAGGCTGCCTCTGGGCAGGGAGTTTGACCTGAGCTGAGGCATCTCCCTTTGGCTGAGAGCAACCCATAGCGAGAACTTGTCTGTGAACTGTCAGCAGCGGGTTCTCCTGGCAACCAGAGGCATGAGTGCCTCCCACAGAGGAACCCTGGTGGCCACCATAGCATACACTCTACATCCATTTCCAGAGCCTTTCTCATTCTTCTGTGCCCAGATGAGAAGAACCAGCCTCTTCCCTCAGGAAGGTTATGGGAACCAGGGCTCATTTTCTTTGTGCTAAAAGGACAGAGATGCTGGGGGAGGGGAGGCCATCCATGAGAATGAGGACCAAAAGTGTAAGTGACCAATTTTGGAAAAGGGAAAAAAAAAAAAAACCACTATCAAAAACCTGTAGGATGGGAGAAAATATTTGTAAACCATATTATCTGGTAAGGGTTTAATATGTAAACTATATAAAGAACTCCTAAAACAAAATAAGTAACATCCTAATTCTAAAATGGGCAAAGGATTTAAATAGACATTTCTCCAAAGAAGATAGACAAATGGCCAATAAGAACATGAAAAAATGTTCAGCATTATTAGGCATCTGGGAAATGCAAACTAAAACCACCATATGATACCACTTTACACCCTCTAGAATGACTATAATAATTCCTTTTTTAAAAAAGAGGAAAATAGGGGTCAGCCCTGTGGCCTAGTGGTTAAAGAAGCTGGATCCCAAATGGCCAACTGCAAAACTATTTTGTTTGCCTCACAGTTGGCTAGCTTGAATGATAACTTTTTTGGAAAGAGAATTATTTTATTTTATTTTATTTTATTTTTAATTTGACCAGAGAGAGAGAGAAAAAGGAAAAGTGAGTCCCAGGTCCAGGACTTATGGTCAGCCACGTGGGAATCCAGTGCCTCAACCACCATGCCACCTGCTGGCCCCTGAGCTGTAGCTTTTATTCACGCATAGAGCACATGGGCCTCCATTTGGACTCTTGTTCTGGGCCCTATAAGGGACAGACTCACTGATGCCAGAGATCCTCCTACCTTCATGGCACCCTGTCCTCTTCAAACCCAACTAACTAGCTGATCCCTCTCTGTCTTGTCTCCCCAGGATAACTGCCGCCCGGGAGGAGCAACCCGGGCGCCCCACTAGGGCAACGGCCCCTGCCCCTCGGGCCGGGATCATGAAAGGCCTCGGTGACAGCCGCCCCCGCCACCTCTCTGACAGCCTAGACCCGCCACATGAGCCCCTGTTCACAGGGCCTGACCGCAACCCTTACCTGTTATCGCCCACAGAGGCCTTTGCCCGCGAGGCCCGCTTCCCTGGGCAGAACGCCCTACCAGGGGATGGGCTCTTCCCGCTCAACAACCAGCTGCCGCCACCCAGCAGCACCTTCCCCCGCATCCACTACAACTCCCACTTTGAGGTGCCAGAGGAGAGTCCCTTCCCCAGCCATGCCCAGGCCACCAAGATCAACCGGCTGCCTGCCAACCTCCTGGACCAGTTTGAGAAGCAGCTGCCCATCCACCGCGATGGCTTCAGCACCCTCCAGTTTCCCCGTGGTGAGGCCAAGGCCCGTGGTGAGAGCCCTGGCCGCATCCGCCATCTGGTACACTCAGTCCAGAGGCTCTTCTTCACCAAGGCACCCTCTCTGGAGGGCACAGCGGGCAAGATCGGTGGCAATGGCAGCAAGAAAGGTGGCATGGAGGACGGCAAGGGCCGGAAGGCCAAAAGCAAGGAGCGGGCCAAAGCCGGGGAACCCAAGCGGCGCAGCCGCTCCAACATCTCGGGCTGGTGGAGCTCCGATGACAACTTGGACGGGGAGGGTGGCGCCTTCCGCAGCAGCGGCCCAGCCTCCGGGCTGATGACTCTTGGCCGCCAGGCGGAACGCAGCCAGCCACGCTACTTCATGCACGCCTATAACACCATCAGTACGTCAAACGGGGCTCCTGGTCTACTCTGACCCTCAGCCATGCCCACGAGGTCTGCCAGAAGACTTCAGCCACCTTGGACAAGAGCCTGCTAAAGTCCAAATCCTGCCACCAGGGTCTCGCCTACCATTACCTGCAGGTGGGTCTCTGCCAGGGTCAAGGGTGGATTGAGGGTTGTGGGGGCGGCACCAGTTTTGAGGCCTAGCTGTACCGGAGAGTCACTTGGAAAGGCACTCCACTCTGCGACTGTCGCTCAGCTATGAAACTGGTGACTGGAGGTGGCCACTAAGGAGGGGAATCCTCCCACAGGTCATGATTGCAGCAGATAGTGATTAGGGCCCTTCTGAGCCCAGCCCTGGGTACAGACTCACCATCTCCCTGCCCTGTGGGATATAAATCTGAAAGTGGGGCCATCCCACCACCTCGCAGGAGAACTGCATGGGTATTCTGATGGCCAGCCTCCTGCCTGCCACCCCCATCAGATGGGTGGGGACCACATCCAATGCAGCCATGTGTCCTCAAGGCCCAGGACAGGGTCTGGTATGGAAGAAGTGCTCAGGAAGTGTGAGAGAGGAAGAGCCAGATGGACACATGGACAAGTAAGTGAACAGGGCTATACAGAGATCAGTAAGACACAGTTCCTATCATCAAGATACTGGGAAGGAGGAACAGACAGTCCTGTCACCCTTGGTAGAATGAGATAGAAGCTGCAAGAGCCCAGGAGGCCCCAGCCCAGCAGGGGAATGCTTTCTTCTTCCAGTGCTAACACTTAACTGAGATGCTTACTATGCATCAAGGCCACCCTGCTTGAAAGCCACAGCTGCTCAGAGATATTCCTGCCACTGCTGCCCCTCCCGCTCCCCACTCCCCACCCTGCAGCAAGCAGGGACTCCAGCAGAGACTCCCAGGCAGGGCAGGGCATGTGGCCATGATCTGGTGGCTTCCAGAGGCAGAGCCCAGGCGTGGGTGGAAGTCACAGGAAGCAGATTCCAGATGGAAGGGGCTGCTCCTGTGAGTAGCGAGCCTCTCATCCTAGGAGGCGTGCAAGCACAGGCCTGGCCACCACTCAGGAGCCCACAGTAGATGCATTTTGAACCAGGTGAACTTCACAGTATGACAAACCCTGAGCTCTTACCATTCTATATACAGTTCCAGAGACACTGAAATTGGAGAAAGTAGGCTATTTTATTTCAGTAGGACCTTGGAATCTAGGCAGTATTTTATATATTTAGGCTTTTGTAGCTCTCAATCCACTTCCTAGGTTTAGAAACATTAGGGAGGGCGCTGTGTTGTGTAAATGTGACCTGGCTCTCTCAAAATGGTGTAGTTTTGTCTGAACATGTGAAAAGGCTCTGAAACATCAGAAGAGAACCGTCCTGCGGGCCCTGACACTTGTGCTGCCTGTTTGGGGTGACAGGAGGTAAGGTTAGTGGGTAGGTTGGCAACACATTCTGAGAGGGAAGTCAAGCCACATTCCCCAGGGACAGTGAGAGAGATGGGGACAGAGCAGCAAACGGTGTGGGAGGGAGAATGCGGGCCCTATTGAACTGCTGGGCAGTCAGCTAGGGACTATGGGAAGGCTGGGGCTGGGCAGCCCTGGGTGGGGGTGGGCTGCGCTGGATTCCCACACGGCCAATCACGCGAGTGTGTGTTTGCATACGTGATGAAGAGTGGCTGCACCGCATACATGGGAACACAGGGACCAGGCATCTGTGGAGACGTGTGCAGCCCGGCCCAGGGTGCGCCCTGTGTGTGTGGGAGTGAGGACACAGGCAGGCAGGCCCGTGTGGAGAGGTGTGTCTGTAGTGCAGTGGTTTCTAGTGCAAGCGTGAGCAGGTGTGTAGCTGTGAAGTATGTTGGGTGTCCATGTCGTGTGCACGTGGAGGGGTACACGTGCTCCGTGTACACATCCTGTACAGGTCGAGGCGTGGCCCGTGATCGAGGGGCCGCTGTTGTGTGTGTGTCTTGGTGAAGTGTGTGGTGCCCAAGGGTACTTGCCGTATACATGTTGACGTGTGTACACAGCAAGGCATGTTCTGTGCTCTGGCTGAGGTGCATGTAAGCACCAAGATGTGAGTGTGGGTTCATTGCCAGTGTCCACCCACTGTGTGTGCCTGACAGTGTGGATTAAGTGACCATGGGGTGTAGACTGCGCACTGCCCAGAGCAGCTGCCAGAGCCTGGCCTCAGAAGGGCAGAGGAGGTGCCCTGGGTTAGTCACTGCCACCATAACCATTGGGCACCAAGGGACCAGGCTGCCCTCACAGCTGTGACCTCACTTGCCTTAGCAGAGCACCACTCTCTGAGGTTCAGGTAAGAAAACCGAGCCCTTTCTCCACCGTGTGACCACCCCTCCCCAGCCCACACGTGCGCGCGGACACCGCAGCACTCTGCTCTCTCTACCTTGGTTTGGCCACCTGATGGGTAGGTAATGGCAATTGGCTCTGGACACTCACTTTCAAACTGATGTGTCAGAGGCCTCTGATCCCTAAAGTAGGCTCAGGGTCTGGTTCCAGATCGGGGGGCCTCTCTCGGCAACCCCGCCCAGGTCTGCTGTTCTCATCTGCCCAATGGGCTCATAGCCATCTCCCGAGACTGCGTGAGTATCCTGGTGGGAACGTAGCAGGTGCGCAGTGAGGGCGCCTCGTTTTCCAGGCAGTGACCCCGAGGCTGGGCTGACCCTGCGTCACCCCGTTGAACCTTACCACCTGCCCCCATCCCCAGGTGCCGGGAGGCGGTGGCGAGTGGAGCACCGCGCTGCTGTCCCCGCGCGAGGCTGACACCGCGGCCGAGGGGCCCATCCCGTGCCGACGCATGCGCAGCGGCAGCTACATCAAGGCCATGGGCGACGAGGACAGCGACGAGTCCGGTGGCAGTCCCAAGCCCTCACCCAAGACCGCGGCGCGGCGCCAGAGCTACCTGAGGGCCACGCAGCAGTCGCTGGGCGAGCAGAGCAACCCCCGCAGGTGAGCGCGCGGCCCCGCCCCCTAGACCCCCACCCCCACGCAAGCCCTGCCCACTTAGGAGTTCTGCTCCCTGAGAGGACCACCGCTTAAGGGAGCCCCGCCCACGGGCCCGCCCTGCCCCTCGGAGCCCCGCCCCTTCAGGCGAGCTCCGCTCCTGGCAGTCTCGCCTCCAAGAGACTCTCAGGGGTGTGCCCAGCCCACAGGTGACCATGCCCCTCGGCCCCAGATCCAGTCGAACCCTCCTCCTGTAATGATCCTATCCTGCTGGTGAACCTGCGCTCAGGTGAGCGCCATCCCTGAGATCCTCATGCTTAGGAGGACCCTGTACTCTGACGAGTCGGCCCTGAAGAGCTCCACTATTTGGTGAAGCAACCTAAGAGCCCCAGCCCCTGCTAAGCCCTGAGCACAGGTGAGTCTCACCCTTTGGTAAACTCCGCCCATGATGGAAACCACTCTTGGGTGTCCGGGCCAGGAGCTGCATCCCCAGGTAAAGTTCACTCCCAGGGAACAGCCCCAGCAGATCCTCCTAGGTTAGGAAAACATGCCCTACTGAGCCTGTCACTTGTCCCAGCACTGCCTGGGGAAGGCTGACCCACGCCCCGCCCTTGCTTCCGTAACTGGTCCTTATGGTGAGCTCCAGCTTGAGGAGGTGAGGAAATCAGAGACAGTCTTTAGTTGTCCCAACATCCTACCAGGAGTTCCATCATTTGAGCCTCATCCTGCTGCATTAAGACTTGGGAGTGGGGCCAATTAGTGGCATGGTGGTTAAGACACTGGACTCTCACATGGTTGCCCGTGGTTTGAGTCCTGGAGCCAATAGCTTGAAACTCACACCTGGGATGTATGCATGCATGCCCAAACTCCAGAGAGGAGAATGGAGGAGAAGGGACTGAGGTGTGGCCATCCCCCGGGGTGGGGGGGGGGGGTGATTTCTCACTTTCTGTCTCTCTGGTGAGCACATGCGCCCTACAGGAAAAATCTCTTAAAATTTTTTTTTTAAATAAAAGACTTGGGAGTTGGAGGAATCAAGCTTATTCCCAGCTCTTGAGCTACTGGGGCCATGAGCCAGACTTTGTGGAGGAGATAGCCTGGGGAGACTGGAGTGTAGGGGAGAGGGCAGGTCAGATGACGCAGCACCAGCGCAGGCAGGGGCGTTGGGCTTGGGACAGCCAGGAGTCTCGTTGGCTGAGCAGCCAGGGAAGGGCCTCTCAGCTGGAATTCAGAACACCACCGGCCACCTGGTCTGTCTCTCTCTGTCTCAGCTTGCTTATCTTTGAAGAAGCTGAACTGGATGATTTCTAAAACCTCTTTTAGTCCTGAGATCCTACAATTCTCTGAATGACCAGTGGGCTTGAAGTTAGTGGGGGCAGGACTGGGCCTCGTTCACAGGCCTTGAATGAGAGGGAATCCCCAGGAATAGTAACAGCTGCTGTCTGGTAGGGTCTCTTCCTTGCTTAGCCAGCAAGGCCACTGTACCTGCCCGAGGACACTTTTTTCTTTTTTTTTAAGAATTCTTTATTGGGCTGGCAGGTGGCGTGGTGGTTAAGGGCTCTGGACTTCCACATGGCCGACCACGGTTCAAGTTCTGGACCTGGCAGCTTGCTTCCTCACTTTCTCTCTCTCTTTCTCTCCTTCCCTCTCTGGTCAAATTAAAACAAATAAACACATAATGTTAAATTAAAAATAATTCTTAAAAAAAAAAAAGAATTCTTTATTGAGCCAGTAGGTGACATGGTGGTTGAGGTGCTGGACTCCCACATGGCCAACCACAGTTCGAGTCCTAGGCCTGGCAGTTTGCTTTCTCATTTTCCTTTTCTCTGTCTGCCTCTCTCTGGTCAGATTAAAAATAATAACAACAACAAATAGAATTAAATCAATCAATCAAAAAAATTAATTCTTTAATTTTATTTATTATTGTTACCTTTTGTCTTTGTTATTACCAGAGACAGAGAGAGAGAAAGTGAAAAAGCAAGCCACCAGATCCAGGACTCAACTGCGGTCGGCCATGTGAAAGTCCAGCGCCTTAACTGCTGACCCCTGACTTGGGACACTTTAATTTGCCTCACTGCATTCTCACCACAGCCCTCGCTGGGAAAGGCAGGGGCATCTCCCTGTAGAGGTGAGAAAACCGAGACATAAGCAAGGGGCAGCAACTTCCCAGTGTCACTCAGCAGAGGAAGCTGGATTCCAGCCTCGGCCCTCCTGTCTTAGACCTGAATTGTTGGAGGCTTGGACATTATACCCAGAGCAGGGGGAGGGCCAGGGTCAGGTAGACGTGAGAGAGCTTAAGGAGTTGGGGCCATTGGGGATGAGTGGTGTGTCTTCAGGGGCCTGATAGAAGCCACCTGGACATCACAGCAAAACTGATGCCCTTTGGGCAGCCCTAGCATAAGGTCAAGCCTGTGGGTTTTGAACTCCCCCTCAGCCTTCCCACTCCTCTGTTCAGTTTCCAGAACTGTCCTAGACTTGCACAGAGAAAAGAGTGTTGTAGAATTGGCCTGGGCTGGCCTGGCCTGGGCTGGCCTGGGGCTTGAAACAGTCAAATGCAAGCTTGTGCTGCCACCTTGTGGCTGAAGCAGGCATGACAACCACCTGCTCATCGTCCCCTACACTGTTCAGGCTGGCAGTGACTTCCATTTTTCTCTGTCACTGGGTGACCCTAGGCCTTAATTTCTCAAACTGAGCAATAGGTGACCTGAGCCCCATCTGTTCCTCCCCCCTCCCTTCGGCTTGAAACGGTCAAATGCAAGCTTGTGCTGCCACCTTGTGGCTGAAGCAGGCATGACAACCACCTGCTCATCGTCCCCTACACTGTTCAGGCTGGCAGTGACTTCCATTTTTCTCTGTCACTGGGTGACCCTAGGCCTTAATTTCTCAAACTGAGCAATAGGTGACCTGAGCCCCATCTGTTCCTCCCCCCTCCCTTCCCGCCCAGGAGTCTGGACCGCCTGGATTCAGTGGACATGCTGTTGCCCTCCAAGTGCCCAAGCTGGGAAGAGGACTACAACCCGGTCAGCGACAGCCTCAATGACTCCAGCTGCATCAGCCAGGTGAGGGTGGCAGGCAGGCCAGAAGGTCGGCGGGCTTGGGAGAGCCCTGACTCCCACCTGAGAGGAGGACAGGCGTCCAGGCCAGCCCCTGCCAAATGCTTCCCAGGTGTCTTCACTGTGCTTCTGCCTGGTCTTTGTTCCCGAAGCTGCCTGTGTGTGTCTCTCTGCTCTACTGACCATCCTGTGGCCGGAAAGTTACTAACACACATGGCCTGAGCAGAGATCCTGGGGAAGGAGGCCACTCACTGAGCTATGAGGACAGAGAACCAGAGACCTAGGTTCAAGTCCCAAGTCCCAGCCTTGTCACTGACAGCACCATCCCAAGACCCCTGAGCCTCAGTCTCCTACAGAAGGGTGGTCAGTCCTATCAGAGATAGACAGCTCCTCTATGTGAGGAATAAAGGAGATAGTGAACTTAATGTGTTCGGCAAAGGGTAGCTGCCTTTATGGTTATTCTCATCATCTTGCTGTGTGACCTCAGCCAAGTTACTTCTCTACTCTGGACCTCTGTGCCTGCCCGCTTAGTGGGAAGTTGGACTTCCAGGGCCCAGCCGGCTCTGCCACGAATCACCGTAGCACTCTGCTGCACCTTTAATTTATATGCTACTGTCCGCCGTCTGTCCTTGAATTCTCACAGCTACCCCACGAGGTGGCCTTATTATCTGTATCTCACAGATGATAAACTGAGGCTCAGAGAGGTGAGATCACACAGCCTGGAGGAAGCAAAGCTGGGCGGGCTCTGGGGCTAGCCCACCCAGACCTAGACCTAGACCCCAGTCCCTGCCGTGTGCACAGCACGTTAAGGTTTGCAGAGGGAGAATAGTCAAGCTGGAGGGCACCCCCATGGTGTGGATGGAGCAGGGCCGCTGAAAGGGCAGAGACCTGCTGCTAGTTGCACAGGTAGGCAGGGGCAGTAGGTATAGACAGGGCAGGACCAGGTCTTGACCCCACTGTGTGCAGGTCTGCGGCCAGGTCTGTGGACTTGCTAGAAATCTTTGCAACCCCATCTCCTCACCACTCCATTACTCCTGGCCTGGCCAAGCCTCTTTCCACCCTACCTCAGACATTCAGGAGGGTAACTTCAGACGTGGGGACCCTCTGCCCCTGCTACCCTCACACAGGACCCACCAAGACTCATTATGTTTGCTCTTCCTTCTCCCAAGAGCATCCCTCTCTCAGATCTCCGCAGAGCTAGCTCTTCCCCAGGGTTCAGGTCTTGGCTCTGAGAGGCCTTACCTGGTCGCTGCGTAAAGGAGCCCCCGGCACCATCATTACCTGGAATCATACTGCTTATTAACGCCCATCTCCCTCTTAAGACTGGGATCGTTCTCCAGCAAGGACTTACCATCTTGTCCCCTGAGTGTCCCCAGTGTCTTGCACAATGCTTGGCACAGGGCAGAAGCTCAGTGGGTGTTTGTGAGTGGACACCATCCCTCCCTGTCTCTCCCACCCTACCTTGGTCTCTGTCTCTGCTTTCCTGTCTGCATCTGTCTCCCTGTTTTTCCCTCTCTGTTTTATTTCATGCTTTTCTCCAAATTTCTCTAGTGAGTCTCTATCTCCACGTTTCTCTCCGTCTGTCCCTCTTACACCTCATCTCCGTCCCCTGCCTGGCCCTGGGACACCTTTACTCTCTGGCTACACTAAACTGCTCATGGAACTGGCTAGACTGGAGACCCCAGCAAGTCCCACCTACCACCCCCGCTGGCTCCAGTTCTTTTCTAGTCCAGGGTCTTCTGATACCCTTCTCCCCACACTGTCACCTCCACAAGCTTTAGTGACCCAGGCTGAAATCCAGGGTGTCTTAGCCTAAAAAGAACCTCTGGGCTCTGTCCCTAATCTGCATTTCCAATTGGGCTGCCCACCCAGGCGACTGGCAGCAGGCAGAGCAACCTGGTTCCAGGGGCTGGACCAGATAAAGGACTTATTAATGGCAGATTACAAGTCCTCTGTGATGCTCAACCTCAGGAGTGAGCCTCCCATCCCTGGAGAAAGCTGAGTGAGACCTCCCAGCAACTGGGCCCCAGTCTGGGGAGGAGGTTAGACCAGCCAAACTCAAGTTCTCTTACAGCTCAGCCTGAATCCCATCCCAGCCCCCGCTGTGGTCCTCCATAACCCTCCCCTCTCTTTCCTGCAGATTTTTGGACAGGCCTCCCTGATCCCCCAGTTGTTTGGCCATGAGCAGCAGGTCAGTATGTTTGCCATTCTCTTGCACCCCAATCCCAGAGTCCAGGGCTGGCACCCGAGTGATCCCGGTACCCAACCTGGGCAGGTACAAGCAGAGTGACCAGGAAAGTCTCTTCCAGTAAGGATGGGCTTGAGGCTCACATTGGTGTTCTGATTCTCCACTCCTTACTCCTATTGCTTCACTTCTCTGTGCCTCAGTTTCTGCTTCTCAAAACCAGGAAGTACCAAGCAAGGTTCTGTGGACGGGCAAGGAGTAATCCCACCATAATAGGAAGCATCCCTGAAAGTCTGCCAGCTCCCTCCTCTCCTCTCCCAACGTCTGGGTCAGGCTCAGGGAGACTTTGATTTTGAAGAATTATTTTTATTTATCTTTATTTATTATTATTATTTTCCAGTTTAATCAAAGAGAGGGAAAGAGTGATTGGGAGGGCTAAAGAGAATCTTCTGAGTGATTTTTTTCTTTAAGTTTACTATAGGGTATCTCCTCGTCAGGGAGAAAGCAAAACAGGGAAGGTGAGGAATCACCACCCCACTTCCCCACCATGGCCACACCAATGACCTTTCTCCATTCTCTTCGGGATTTGGAGCACGTGTGCACAAGCATCTGGTCGTTTTTATTTATTTTTTTTTTTTAAGCTCCCTGGTCCAGGATTCCAGCTGTGCAGTCTGCCATGTGGGACCCAGCCACCTTAACGTCCATGCTGTCTGCTGACCCCTTTGAGGCTATCTTGACCTGGATGATGTTTGTACAGATGTTTATAGTGACTGACTAATCTGGATGTTTTTTGTTTTCCTTTGTTATATTTCACAAATAAAAAGTTTTTTTTTTAATTAATCATTTTATTTTAACTTTGTTTTAATTTGACCAGAGAGGAACAGAGTGGGAGAGAAAGTAAGCCATCAGGTCCAGGATCTGAACCATGGTCGGCCATGTGGGAGTCCAGCACCCTTAACCACCATGCCACCTGCCAGCCCCCTGGGAAGACTTTTATTTGACCAGGTCAAGGGCTGGGAGCTGGTGGCATTGACTTCCAGACCATAGCCCCCTGGCCCCCTGACTCTAGAAAGAACACTGCAGCAGACCTTTAAGGATGTTGGGATATTGGAATAAATGCAGAGACTTCTCCACTTTCCAGAAATTCATTCTCTGAACACCTAGCCTATCTCTGGAAAAGGCCCTCTCTTCCTTCCCAGGTCCCAAGACCAGAAAGGGGGGCAGGAAAGGTGCTCTGGGCTTAGCCCCTCATTGTGGCCACAGTGGACAAGGGCTTATCCAAGGCTGTGCATCCCACAGGGTAGAACTGGGACCCAACCCACATCTGCTTCCAGCCATAGATGCCATACGTGCCCCTCCCCCATACCACAGTTCCTCTTGAACTCATTGTCCCAGTGGGTATTTTGGAAGTCCACAGCAGGCCAGGCAAGCTCTTCCTCCTCTGACTTCCACAGACACGTGGTAGGGATGTGATGGGTTAAAATACAAAATACACACAGTAGGTCCTCCGGAGTGTGCCCATACCAGCAGCCCAGAACAGCTGACCTCCCTCCTACCCTCAGATGGAGCTTGGGAGTCCCAGTAGCAGACAGAAAGCCAGTGTTGGTGAGAGCCTCAGAGAGCTGCTGTTCTTGGACACCTGGGCTTGAAGGGATTACTCAGTACTGGTTCCTGAAGAATGGGCTACAGAAAAATCTCTGATGAGTGCCGTGATTCCTTCCCGGTTCATCGTCCCCACTCCACAGAGCTGCCTGTGTTAACAGGCACGGGTGGCCTGTGCTTACTTTCCCGGATGCTGTTACAAGCACAAGATGGGAATCATCTCATCTAACCTTGGCAGCAGTCCTGTGAGTTTGGGACTATAATTAGCCCCATCTTGTATGTGGGGAAGCTGAGGCATGGGGCAGATTCTTCATGTTGAGAAGACATGATAAACTAGGACTGAAACCCTGGCCCTCTAGTTCCAGAGCTGTGCTGTTACCGTGTGACCCCAGAGCAAGACCTCGTCATCTCGTTACACTTCAGGTTGCAGCTCTGGTGACTAAATCCCTGTCTTTTTAATACTCCCTTGAAATGAATTTTGGGTGAGCCACATGGCTGGCATTTTAAGTTATCAGTGCTGTCCAGTGGGACTTTCTGCAGTGATGGAAATGCCCTCTGATCCATGTTGTCCCACAAGGCAGCCCCTAGTCCAGTGTGGCTCTTGAACAAGTGAAATGTGGCTGGTGTGACTACAGGACTTGATTTAATCTCAGTTCATCTAAACTACAGAGCCACACGTGGTTTGTGGCTGCCATGTGGAATGACATAGACTTAGCCCTCTCCAGATGCCCTCCAGATTTGGTGATCATCCACCTATGGTTTGACCTCCTAGTCTCGAGTGAACACTCACGATTCCATTTCATGGAGAGGAGGAAAAGCTGACCCAGAGAGGATGGCGATGGCCCAAGGTCACAGCAGGGTCGAGGGCAGAGCTGGTCTTATACTAGATCCATCTCTTCCTCCACATGGCGCTCGCCCCCTTGGGCCCCCTCCCCTGCAGGTAACTGGTGTCCGCCTTTAGTCGGCTGACTCCTCAGCTTATCTCCCATGGTCTTCAGTGACCAACGTGGCCTGCGACATGGTCAGACGGCCACCCCAGAACCCTGGGAGAGTTCATGGATGGTGAGACCCTTCTATGCTAGCTCTGGATTTGCAGGATCTTAGACAGTCATCTCTGGAGGGACACTTAGGGACCACGTAGACGAGTTTGAGCACGGTGCACCATTCCCCACACTGCCCGTGGCAGCTGTCGCTAACCAGTCCTCATGGCTACTACCCTCATTTCAATCTTCTCTTCTCTCACCAGACTGTTGCATCAGCTTCATCTCTGGCCTTTGCCTCCATTCCAGACCCCCTCCTTAACATCCATGCTGTACACCAGGTTAGAGCAATCTTCCTTAAATACGTATTTGGAATGTTGGCCCCACCACTTCCTCATTGGGTGCCCCGGCAACTGTCTTCCCCTCACTGACCTTTGGTTTCTTTGCTTGTAAAATGAGCGGATTGGACCATAAGGTGGTAAATATCCAGCATACCTTCCGCCACCCCCATTCCAACATTCAGGACAGACATTATGAATTGATGGTAGAGCTCTTTCATACTGGATTCAGGTGGGACCATCCAATCTACCACGCATCTGTCAGTGTGGTCATACCAGATGTAATCTAGTTAACATTCTGGAATAATCCACATTTCTCCTCACTGTAGAGATGGGGAGGTTGATACCCAGGGCGGTGAACGGGGCCGTTTACTTCCTAATGGCTCTGTCTGCCTGTTCCATACCCTGAATGATGGGAGGTGGGATGGGCTGAGGTGAGGGCCCCACCGACTATCCAGCCCTCGGCTGAGCCGACTGCCCATCACCCCGTATCCCAGGATGGACCAAACTGGCCCTGACCACCTGCCTTTGCCTGGGCAGGTTCGTGAGGCGGATCTGAGTGACCAGTACGAGGCAGCCTGCGAGTCGGCCTGCAGTGAAGCGGAGTCGGCAGCGGCAGAGGCACTTGACTTGCCGCTGCCCAGCTACTTCCGCTCCCGCAGCCACAGCTACCTGCGTGCCATCCAGGCAGGCTGCTCACAGGAGGAGGACAGTGTCTCCCTTCAGTCCCTCTCCCCACCACCCAGCACGGGCAGCCTCAGCAACAGTCGCACACTTCCAAGTGAGTACTATGATGAGGGGAGGGCAGGTTGGGGCCTTTTTTTGCAAGAAGGCTCCAGAGACCATGCCGGGTGGGCCAGCCTGTGGGCACGCCAGGGAGGAATCCACATCGGGCTGGCCAGCACCGGAGGGAAGGGATGGTTGGGAGCACAGAGGCGGAGGCCGTGGAGCTCAGCTTCCCACCAGTTTGTGAACTAGAGTTCAAACTGAGGTCATAAAGGCAGATGCCACCATTGTGGTGGTGGGAGTTGTTGAAGAAGGCTGGAGCTTGTGGGGGACTTGGCTGCTCTCGGGTTTCAGGCATCCATCTGCTGGTAGGCAGGGCTTACTGAAGCACCCTGCTGAGGTTAATTTGGCGAGGCCATCCTGCAGGAGGATCAGAACCTGCCGTGAGAGGGTAGGATGTGCTCTGAGTCTTTCCAGAGAGTGAGTTAGCGGCTTTCTCTCATATTCACCATCCAGATAATCCTTCCTGATTCTTGTTCTGAATCCTCTGAAGATAGCATATGCATGATCAGAGTAAAAATGGGACCTGGTGTCTCTGAGCCAACCATGAAATCATAGAAAATCAGACCAAAGAAGAGCTTACTCTAGTAGCTCATTTTCCTCCCCGAGCCTCAATTTCTCATCTGTAAATTGAGGACGTAAGCCACATCTCTGGGAGCTCTTGGGGAGATGAAAGCAGACCGTGCATATGAAGTGTTTAGCCAAGGCTTTGTGCACAGTAGGAACGCAACAAGTAGTACCCGAATAACTGCATCTCAGACTTGACTCTCAGCTTCCTGACTGTCAAAGGCAATTGGGGTTCAACTGTTGTAGTAATAGAAAGAGAAACAACCGCTTCAAGTACTCACGTGCTGTTTGCTGTAGAGAAGTGAGCTTAAATCCCATAGATATTCTGTACATAACCAACTTACTGGCTGAGTGGACTGATCTTCACAAGAAACAGAGCAAGAAACTACTTTGTCTCATGGTTGTCTTTCAGATTCTCTCTGGTCTTCCTGCCCTGCCCCTGGCTGATATCTGGGGCAGATTCCTGAGCTTTTCCAATCATAAGGAATAGTCTTGTCCTCAGGTATTAAGATTGTAGTCTGGGGGCTGGCAGGTGGCATGGTGGTTAAAGGCGCTGGACTCCCACATGGCCAACTGCAATTTGAGTCCTGGACCTGGCAGCTTGCTTTCTCACTTTCTCTCTCACTTTCTCTCTCTCTCTCTCTCTGTCCCTCTCTTGTCAAATTATAACAAATCAATAAAGTTAAATTAAAAAAAAAAATTACAATCTGAGGGCCAGCAAGTGGCATGATAGTTAAGGTGCTAGACTCCCACATTGTCCACCGTGGTTCGTGTCCCAGACCTGGCAGCTTGAAACTCGTGCTGGGCACATGTGCATACACGCCCAAGAGGAGAATGGAGAAGAGATTGCGGTGTAGCCATCCCAGTCTGGGGCCAACAGATAGGGCAGTGGTTAAGGTGCTGAATTCTCATATGGCCAAGTGTGGTTTGAGTCCTGGACCTAGCAGCTGAAAATCATGCCAGGCACATGTGAATGGGTACCTAAAACCCTGAGAGGAGAAGAGATCGCAGGTGGCCATGCCCTCAAGGGATGATTTCTCACTTTCCTTCTCCCTGTATCGCTCTGTCTCTCCCAGCAAGTGCACATGCCCTATGGCAAAAACCTAAACAAAATAATAAAAAGAAAAAAGGCAAATGCCAACTTCAGCCAAAAAAAAAAGATTCCAGCCTGGTCTGATTTCACAACTTCAGTTTCAGCCACCTCAAAACCCATGCAATTGTAGCCAGAGCCTGGCTTGGACCAGGGAGCCCACAGTTGGGGGTGTGGGGGGGGTGGTCTGGGTCTTCTCTGTCTCTCATTCTCAGTGGCTGTTTCTGGTTCTTCCAGGTGGGAGGGGAAGGTATCCAGGGCAGGTGCTGTCTGGCATTGGTACTCTGCCCCACCGATGCTGGCCCTTGCCCCTACCTGCAGGCCCTCTTTCTTGGCATGGGCAATCCCCCATCACCCCACCTATTCTTATTCCTCCTCAGCTTTCCACCTGGTAGTCCTCCCCACTCAGCATCTTTTTGCTGGGGGATCCATCCTGCAATAAAAACAGGAGTGGAGGCCCACATCTGTGGCCTACAAATCCAGGAGAGTCCTGCCAGGCTCCTCCAGGCACTCTGGGATGGAGCCATAGGAGCTTCAAGTAAAGGCTCATATTCCCCTATATCCCTACAGCATGGGGCATCCTGGAGAGACATACGGCATCGCTAACAATTCTCTTTAAATAAATCCTCCCCTCACTAGTGGACTCACAAATAGACAAAGACAGGTGATGGGCTATGTGACCAAGAACCATTTGGGTCCCTGTATTGGTCAGCTTTCACTACAATAATGCTGCATAACTACTGCAAAGTCAGTGTAATACAACAATTAACATGTACTTCTTGCTGTCAAGCTTGTCAGCTAGAACAGTTCTCTACATCTTTCATCCTCTTTCCAGCATCAGAGGGTACCCCTGGGACGAATGGCCTAGCCAAGGCGTGTTCCCTGAATGGTGATAGCAGAAGAGAGCAATCCTAACTAACTACGCCCGCACATTGTGAGACCCCTGTTGTGTAACATCTGCTAACGTCCTGTCGGCAAGTCATATGACTGAGTTCAAAAACAAGGTGTGGAAATGTAACCTCTTACCTTTCTGTAAGACACTGTATTCATATGGTGAAGGACTTCAGTACAGGTCGAGGTGAAGAATCAGGGTCAATAATTTAGTCTATTACGGTCCTTTTTTAGGCCACATTTATTCATCTCCCTCCCACATAGAAAACACCCTGGGGGCCAGCATGTGGCACAGTGGTTAAAGTGCTGGACTCCCATATGGCCGACCACAGTTTGAGCCATGGACCTGGTGACTTGTGCTCTCACTTTCCCATTCTCTCTCTTTCCCACTCTCTCTCTCTGGTCAAATAAAACTAATTAATTAAAATTAAAAACAAATAAGTAATTTTAAAAAGAACTTACCCTGGGCCAGCCTGTGTCATGGTGGTTAAGGTGGCTGGATCCCACAGGGCCAACTGAGCAGTTCAAGTGTTTTCCTGGCTTGAAAAACATGTGGGCACATTTGTGTGCATGCCCAGAATTCCAAAAGAAGGGAGAAATAGAGGAGAAGGAATTGTAGCATGACCATTTCCCATGGGGACTGCTTTCTCTCTCTCTGTTTCTCTCTGGCAAGTGCACACACCCTCTAGCTAGCAAGTTAAAAAAAGAAAAGAAAAGGAAGCACTTATCCCTGACACTCAAGTCTCATCCAATCATGGTATACAGATTTCATTTTCGTGATCTGTGTCAGGTCTGAATATGGCCCCTCTTGATTGATTGACCTATGATCTAGAAACAAGTTATCGGAGCCAGCAGGTAGCATGGCGGTTAAGGGTGCTGGACTCCCATGTGGCCAACCACGGTTTGAATCCTGGACCTGGCAGCTTACTTTCTCACTTTCTCTCCCTCTCTCTCTCTCTCTCTCTCTCTCTCTCTCTCGTCAAATTGAAAGAAAGAAAGTTTAAAAATTATTTTTTTTTGGAGAGATTTTTGCTATAGGGTGTGTGCACTTGCCAGAAAGACAGAGAGACAGAAAGTGAGAAATCTCCCCCCGGGGAGATGGCCATGCTGCAATCCCTTCTCCTCCAGTCTCCTCTCAGGATCTTGGGCATGCATGTACATGTACCTGGTGTGAGCTTAAGCCACTGGGTCCAGGACTTGAACTGCAGTCAACTACATGGGAGTCCAGTGACATAGCCATTACGCTAATTGCTAGCCCCGAAAGTTAAATAATTCTTTAAAAATAAATAAATAAAAACAAGTTATCTACCCCTTCTACACATATAACTTGCCCCCCACCCATAGCATACATTGGTGAAAATAGGGACAGGATAATACAATTCACCCTCCTATTCAGAAATGAGGAGGATGTGAATTCAGAGACTTATTGATCCATGTCAGTTTTGAAGTCCTGGGCAAATGTTGGGCAAATTGTTGGGCAAATACTCTGGGATAGGAAACACTCCTTGATTAAGTGCTGGGGTTGATCCCCTAATTTAGCAGTGACCAACCATTTTGGTACCGGGGGCTAGTTTCGTGGACAGCAATTTTTTCATGAACCATGTGGGGGGATGGCTTTAGGATAATTCAAGTGCATTACATCTGTTGCACAATTTATTTCAATTATTATTACATTGTAATATGTAATGAAATAGTAATAGTTATACAACTCAAAAATAAGTATTTGCAGCTTCTCCCCAGTGCTAGTATCATCACCCCAGCTCCACTTCAGATCATCAGGCATTAGAGTCTCATAAGTAGTGTGCAATTCACAGTAGGGTTCACACTCCTGTGAGAATGTAACGCTGCCCCTGATCTGACAGGAGGTGGAGCTCAGGTGGTAATGTAAGCAATGGGGAGTGGCTGTAAGTACAGGAAAGTGTCTCTTGATGTGTGACCTGGTTCCTAGAGAAACCAATCTGTGACCCCAGGGTTGGGCATCACTGCCCTAATTCATTGTTCTCCATACTTTTGACACTCTTCCTTTTCCATCCGTATTTATGGCCACTTCTGCAGAGAGAACATTGGAGAGTATGACCAGCCACCTTAGGGTACCTGAACACCTTTCTTTGCCTTTTTTATACCCAGGAGGATTTTTGCTATAGGGTGCATGTGCTCACTGGAGAGACAGAAAGCAAGAAATTACTCTCCAAGGGGGATGGCCACACCACAATCCCTTCTCCTCCATTTTCCTCTTGGAATTTTGGGCACGCACACACATGCTCTCAGCATAAGTTTTAAGGCACCAGGTCCAGAACTCAAACTATGGTCAACTGCATGGAAGTCCAGCAATGTAACCATTACGCCATCTACTGGTCCTGCTG